TTTGTAATAATAATTCTCTTATAAAAGTGAAGTATTATAGGGGAAACAAGTGCATGGGCTTAATTTGGGTGATGTTAATAAAGAAAAACTGAAGAAATGTGTGTCAAATATAGTAGATAAACATGGAGAAATTGAACGTAAAAATATGGGAAGATTCGAAGTTATAGTAAAATTGTTATTTTATTATTTTGTTACTGAATAAATCCATTTTATCCTTTATAATAAAGGCAAAAAAAATAAAAAGAAGAAGAAAGAACTAACAATGCAACACCGTAAAGGGCATCAAGCTTTATATATGACACATATATGCTTCCTAAAAAATGCCACTGGAGGGAGAGGGGAAAGAATTCTAGCGTCTGAACTCTGGAGCAAGAGGGCAAGCCCAAACAAATGCCTATGAAATGCCACTGGAATTGTCAAAATTTAGAGCATAACCAGTCTATCTGCCTTTGAAAATGCCACCGAAGTTGCTCAAAATTACCGAATAACCGGTCCATGAGCATTGTAGCAACTCCAACTCGCACTTTTAGTATAGTGAGGATCTAAAACTATTACCAGAAAGACAACTATACCGGCACACGTACTCTTTCCAATCAACGACTCCTCCTTGCTCCTCGGACTTACTCTTTTGCGGCTTTGCTATTAGTTTACCTTCCTTTTCTATTTCTTGTTTGCGTATCATGAGATGGAGTTAGAAAACTTGCATGCGTTTTTTAGTAATGTGCATCAATGATTCCTGAAGATGAAATATTTGAGATAACAGTAGTGGCCTCTTTGAGATAACAATAGTGGCCTCTAAGAAACGCTGTTGTCTAACTAACAAAACCAAAGAAGTACTCACCCTTGCAGCTACCAAAGAGCACTCAAGTCAGAGCAAGAAGCAAGAAGTAAAAGTACAAGAGAACAAGAACGAAGGACTCACTCTTGCAGCTACCAAAGAACACGGGCGTGGACTAAAGAATGCAGAGCAGGCTTTGTATAGAATGGCAGCAAGAAAAAGCAAACAATAGGATAATGTGCCGTGAGAAGAGAACACTACATCGCCCACAACAAAGCCACGCGAATAGCAGGAAATTCCAACAAAAGCCATGCAGACAGCATCGAAGTTCCAAGGCCATGCAGACAGCTGATAGCACAAACCCACCGCCCACAACAAAAGACCAAACCGCCCCTCAAGCTCACACAAATCGCAGTATAACCAGCCCAATTTCACTGTAGCAAACCAAACTCGCGCTTTTAGTATAGTAAAGATTACTAGGTTAAACTACCACCGCTTTTGCTTTTTACAGCAATGAATAATTATCATGTTTTATGCTTTGTGTACATATGAATGTATAATATTGTTCCAATTACGATCCCCTTACTCTTTCTAACCACATTCATCAATTTGATATTGATTTGCAGTGTATCCCTATTCTGTTAGTCTTGTTAATAATATTATCAATTGAATTTAAATGGGATAAATTTAAAGGTCTTAAGAGCACAAAGTGTCTAAAAGTGAAATTTAATATGGTAAACCAAGTCAACCCAAGATTCATACCAGGCATTCATCAAATCCATGACTCCCTTAATCTTTTGGATTTTTTTTTTTTGTGAACTTATGAACTTAATATTATCTGAATACTTTGATGTGGGTAACCATTCAACCAAATAATATACAAATTTGTAACTCCAAATAAAATCAGTCTGTACATTTATTTTAGGTGACCTGGTTAGGGTATGCAAAGAAATTATTTTCTGCCACTACATCACATTCCTGCAAGGACAGTTGTAGAGATGGAAAAGATTTTAAACAAGGAACTTCTTAAGCTAAAGAAATGATTGCCAACATAAATCAATTAAAGAAGGAAACTGATAGTGATTTAATGGTGCTTTGGAAATAAGTTAAAAGCTAAATTGCACGAATGGTTATTGTATGTATTCATATATCATTAGACTGCAATTGCTTTGCAGCTGTTTAGACGTTGGCGTTCTTTACACATAAACCCTGAATCGAAATCGTTTACCATTTCATACTGAACAAAACTACAGTATAGGACATCAGCACATGAAAAGTCTTGCTATTGCCGGACATCACATGCAACTTTACTCGCATCTCGTCCATAAAATGATCATTGCCTCCCGAACCTTCAACTCTTATCTTCAATTGTGTGGTTATATAAATTACTGGGCATTCATGGGCATGGTCCACAATTGCTACCGTGCATAGTCAGCACGGTAGTAACTGACATTTCTTGTAATTGTCCCGCTACCATGCACAGTTAGTACAGTAGCGGCCGACTTTTTTCAAAAAAAAAATTGCAGGCGCTGCTAAATTGCAGAGATTTAAAAAAGTTCTTTCTTGCCGTGCCCAGTCAGCACGGCAGTTATAGTTTTGTACTTATCCCTTGTCAGACATACATTTAACTGATTTTTTTTTTAGGGTATGTTCTGAGATATTAGCCCATACGAGCTTGGATTGGGAAAATGTCATCAAATATAATGTCTCTAAGATTTCAGTCAAATAACTTCTATGGAGGTATTTCTGACAAGCTCTGCCTACTCTCCAATCTTCAAGCGCTGAACCTGGCACATAATAACTTAACAGGATATATTCCTCATTGTTTTAACGACTTCTCAATGATGGTATCAAGTGAACATGGAGTCCTGATAACATTCAGTGTGAAATGCAAGCACTAAAACTAGAAAGCAGTTTTCCAGTCAAAGTTGTCATGCTGATGGGTTAACCCGATTCGTTTAGCAGGTGGATATATCTATACGTAGACCTAGCTAGTGAGTTTGCGAGCTGAATGGTCTAGGCGGCCAGACTACAACATGAATTAGTAAATAACTAGGAGAGGTTCGCCGCGCCAATGCGCGGTGGATAAATGCCCAATTATACCCACTTAATTTGCAAATTATTATGTAACAGATGTAAATGATAAACAAAATATTTAGAGTTGTATTCTTAGAAATTATATATAATTAGTTCAAAATTGTAAAAATATGAAATTCAAGAGATGAAAATTATTATACAATACCTTTTAAAAAAAGGCAAGAAAAACAAGATTAGAACATACACAACTGGCCATTGACCCAACATACAAATTATATTGTGCTGTCCTCAAAATTTACGAATGAAATCTCATTCTAAAAAAGCATCAACAGTCACATATATGCATTAATTAACATAATTAAAAACTCTTTCTCAACATATCTTGTCTTTTGAGTTTTTGAGGAAGGCGACCTCACAATTTCTGCACAGCTTTGATGCTAAAGAGGTTTTACAGCATTATGGGATAAAGCCAATCAAAAGAACAATAAAATCCTCCAAAAAGTATCAAGAATATATACATCATAAAGAAACCTCATTTTTTTTTCTTTTTCTTTTTTGGGTACATTGGAAGAGGTCATAATCTCTTAAATAGAAACAAAATGAGAATAAGCAACTGCTAACACATACGCTTCCAACAAATCTTGCATCTCTGCAGGGATGTCATCAAGAACTTGTAAACCTAATGGACCATAAATGCTGCACTTGGCCAATCAATTTGTATATTGATTGCATTCCCTCCAAATATGACTCAGCTAACAGTCCCAGCTCCTTTGCTTTAACTCTCATATCTGAATAAGAAGATTATGATCCGATGAGTTCTGATACCTAAATTTTTTACTAAAACTGCATGCAAGAAAAAGACCAATCAAATGGATCTACATATACCGTGCAATAGCAAGGGCATAGATGACTGCTAATATCCTTCACATCATGCAAGTCAATCTCACAAGTCACAACTATCATTTGGAGTAGTCTCATGCTGTTTCAAAAGATGCAAGCTAAATTGCTAAATGAAAATAAGAGGTTTGCCACATGCAAAAAACTCGTCAATGGTTTCCAAGCAAAATTTACTCTCAGTTTCGACGTTATGTACAACTAAAAACTAACTAAATTTAAGTGCAAACATCTGCTCCAAAATCTAACTTGGCAAGTTTTCGTATAGGAGAGCAAAAGAATCAAGAAGATTTCTCAATAAAGCAGGACAAAAGGAAGTTTCTAAAAATTTTCAACTTAACTTTGATGCTCTTAGCCCAAGGACAACAAAAAATTAGAACAACCCACTAAAATAAAGTATAGGAGAAACTTTTCATGAAAGGGAGAGGAAGGAGAGAAAATATGATTGGCATTCAGAGGAGGAAGGGAGAAAAGAATATAGCAACAGAACAAAGAATGAAGTAGAAGGGGAGACAACATTGGAAAAAAAAAAAAAAGAACTGTCTAGAGCAAGCTGTAACCTTGTAAGCAACTCAAAAACAAAGATAAGATATGAAATAATTTTCTTTTATACTGCACATTGGCCAATATTTACAGCCTCAAAACCAGCTAGAATTCCTCAAATTCAAACAAGTCGGTATCTTATTATTTTCTTTATTAGTAAAAAGAAAAGAAATAATATTATACTTTTCCATTCCAAACAAATTAATACAAGGTAGACCATAAAACTGCCAAGTAGTCTGAATTTTCATTATAAACTATGCAGCCAATATCGAATAGTAAAGCTACAAGTCAAAACACAACTGCATAAGCAAATGCCATGATGAGCTTCAAGAGAAACAGGAAAAGACTCACATGAGAAATTTACGAAGCACTGACAATTATTAGGTTGATACAATTTTGGAGAAAGTCAAGGAATGAAATTTGTGAAATCCTTGTTATCAATACATTTTTAAGGAATCCAATCAGACACATAATATTATGCAGTAATAATTAGCCTTTGAATTGCAGTAGCATTTTTAAGGGAAAACATGGCTAACAAATTACCATTTGAATTGCAGTAATAATTATAATAGTAATAACTACTCTATGCTCAATCGAAAATGCATTTTAAGCATCCAATCAAACTGTTAGTCCTCTTTTACATCATTCATTTAGCAAAATATTTGATCTAAAAGCCTAGAGAATCAGCAAAAACTACAAGGTGAGAAAACATATATATGTCTAGAAAAAATGAAGCAATATTGATTGATCTCTTTCAACTATTTCTTCCTTTAGATAATTGTTTGCCTTTTCTTCAACATCCACAGCTTCTAGAAGAATAACCTACATTATTTAAAAAAAACCCTCAATATATGGCTATCAAAGACTATATTAGAATGATTGATAAATTCAGCATGGCAAATGATAGAACACGAGTATAATGCATAACAATTATGAGAAAAGATATCCACCTCAAGAGTACATCAAACTGAACCTCCCAACTTCATATATGACTCAGATGCATAACAATTCATCTTGAGAAGGCAATAGTTTTAAAAAAAAAAAGAATTGGTAAAATTAACAATTTCAACACCCACCAGACACTTCATGAAAACCACTAAATAGCACAAAAATCAGAAATTTGAAATTCAAAGTTAAGGTAATCTAGAAAGATGACCACAAAATAAAAAGAAAAGCCGATAACCTGAAAAGCTAAATCTTTTTCTCCTCCCTTTAGTATTTCCTTGTGATTTTCCTCAATCTATCAAATAGGCAGCAATCTAAGATTATGAGGAGCAGCAAAACTAAAGAAGCAAGCAAGAAATTAAAAACTTCAGAAGTGAAAAGGAAGCAGAAACTTGAAGGTCCAATCTAGTGTAAAATTGGAAAAATGACAGGGAAATAAATCAAAAAAAATTCACAACCTGAAAAGTTAAAATTTTTTCTCCTTTCAGTAGATATTCCTTCCATTTTTTCAAACTGTTTTCACATTTGAATACTATAACATTGAGATACCAAGAACTATATATTACATACACAGAAAAAATAACTTCACCAATAATGAGTAACCATAGAAAAAGGGCTTTAAAAATCTCATTTGGCAAATTCACATACGAAATAAAAGCTCAAGTAAGATATTGTCAATAATATTAAAAAAACCCATAAAAGTATAAACAAACAATTATTAGATCAAACTTGGCTGTTTTGTCTTACAATTACTACGGGCAGAATAGACTGCTATTGTAGGCAATGAACCACATAGTTCAATCGTCAACTCTGCTTTACCCAACTTGCTCACAAACACTTCTAGAACAAAGCCATGTAATTAAATGATAATGCTCAAAATGTAAAAGCATTTGCTAAAAAATTGATCTTCTAGTTTTTGAAACATTAATGAGGTGTTATCAAGATTAAAATGCAAAGACGAAAAGTAAGTTTGTAAAATCTACCCATTAAATTGGCGAAACAAATTGTGTAACCTAACCATGCTATGATAATAACCAAAGTAATAGGCTCTTTGAAGAGCTAAGAGAGCCGGGAAAAAAAAAGGAAGAACAGGCCAGAAAAGAAATTGCCCCAGTCCAACTCATCATTCAAGAGTAGAAAGGCAAAGAAAATTACAAGCCACAACTATTCAATATGTCATTTTTAACTTTCACAAGCAAATGTACATGTATCAACCCCCTGGGAGTTTCTATTCCAGCTTCGTAACCTTCAATTGTTGAGGGAAACTATCTATCAAATAAACAAAAGAACGCAATTAGGAGATAATCTAAATCCTATCAGCATATACATTTAAGAATCTAGGGAAGGGAAAAATTTCTCTTATTCAGGGGGAAAAACCCTGAAGAATACAAAATCAGTCTGTTTACCACCATGCGTGCATTATCTTCAATGAATGCCGCACTGGTAGCTATTAAGTGGTGATTTTTTTTTTTTTGCATTGATAATAAAGAAATTGCACATGAGCCACTGTAAATGAATCATTCTTTTCCGCAGGACCAATAATTACAATACTAAAGCAAACTATGAACCAAAAGGTAAATACATCAATACATTGAAACTGCATATAAGCAAGCTAACAAATGAATTTCAAATCAAATATTAAATAATCTGCAATAAATGAAAATTTCTTACTAAAAAATTCAGAGACTACAAAATTACAAGGATCTCATGGTAAAAAAAACATTAAGTAAACAACAATACATCAAATGACTAAACATACCTAATTAAGTAGAAAAAGGCTAAACATAGAACAAACTTAAGTAGCCTTAAAGCTAGTGAGAATAATATAAGCAGCTTCCCTCCTATCACTACCAGCAATCAGCTTAACACAAAATACCTATTAAAAACACCAGATCAGTTTTGGATACTCAAAAAAACCCAAAAAGAAAAAAGAAAAAAAATTGCAATCATGGGCTCTGAACCAAGTATAATCCCTCCATACATAAAAATCTTTCCTTCTTGTACTGGATGATGGCACATAAACATTAAGAAACAATATGATTTTCCATTGAATGCCTTCTTCACAGAATGTTTGAGACAAATAAATGGAGGAAAAAGTATAAATCTGGAACCCATACAACAAATTGAACAAAAGGTGAGATGGCCCAAAAAAATAATCACAGTTAAGAGTATGGCCAAATATACACACTTTTGGCAATCACTTTTTCCTCATTGTGTAACAGAATTTCTTGCACTGCACAAATGTAATTTAAGAGCAAGGACTTTTTGGAATTTGATACACCAGACATGGTAAGCTCAACCAAAAACTCAATATTGTACTGAAGCAAATTACAACATAAAAACTTTTGGTTCCGCTGCAAAACTCAGACACCCATAAGGCATTTTAGCAATAAGTGTTAACCACACTTGTAAATGCAACTACACCACTCTATGCATACTCTAAATACAAAGTCACAACTACTGCAATGGAAAAGTAATGACAAAGACATCTATTCCAAGCACAATTCAAACAGGATCTCCCAATACCATGTATAACTTGGATGCATAACCATCCGTGTTAAGAAGGCAATAGTAAAGATAAAAGGCAAAACTACGAAATAATACCTATAGCTACTTTGTGAAAACCAATGAATAGAATATAACTTGAAAGCTGAATTTCAGGTGAGCTGCAAAGATAATTGGGGAGAAAAAAAGAACTGAGCCTAAAAAGTTAAATCTATCTCTTCTTGTGGATTTTTCTTGCATTTTTCCTCAATCTACTAAACAAAAATCAAAATATGACATAAATGGAAAATAAGACTATTAGCAGCAGCAAAACTAAATAACTAAACAAGAAATTAAAACATATAATCTTCAGTTGAAGAGAAGGTTAAGATCTCTGTGTCAAAGAAGCGTCAGAAGAAGAGGAAAAAGTCAGATATAAAGAAGCAGGTGGTACCTCTGGGTGCTTAAATATTCAAGTTTCTTCATCATTTGTAGTTCATTTTAACTTTGATCATTGTTACTTTTAAAGAACTTAAAGGACTCTATAGATGGAAAGATGAAAAGACCTTAAAAAAAAAGGATGAAACAATGACCTTGAGTAAATTCAGCTTTTGGTGATTTTTTGGAGTCTATTAGAGGAGAACAATCAAGACTATAGAGCTCAAATACTATTGCAAAGTGAGCTAATACTAATGCTTTCCCTTTAAAAGTCATGCATAGATCAGGTGGCTGAGAAAGTTAACCACCAAGCAGATGTTGTGTAGTTCTGTGGAATGAGATAGATATTTTAGTACTTATAGCATTTTCAGCGAAACTATGCGTATCAAATAAGCTGTATCATTAGTACAAAAACACAAAAAAAAAAAGGGTAAAAAATTATATATATAACTACAGGAGCTGCAGGAAAAGTACCTAGATATTCACCGAACGAAGAGCAGAACCTGCAGACAAAAAACAAAATAGCCAATGATGATGAATATAACAGCACCATTAGTATGAGAACACAAAGACAAAACTGAAATACGAAATCATCCATGCATGCGCCAATTGCCTCGTGCTGAAGTTATTCTTAATGCTTATAATTCCAATGACCTGTGAGAAGAATAGAACTATTAAATCAATTTAAACAAGCTTACAACTTACATGACACGGCTTTGGAAACTACAGATTCAGTAGGCACATCATTAAGCAAAAAAACTAAGACCATGCATGCAACAGATCCAGCATTAGATAATAGGCGACACACTACACTCTAAAGCAAAACCCAAAACCAGAATTTGAGAGGACACCTCTTGGCTACTGTGAATTTTTTTTTTAGAGGACAATAGCAAATTAGCAATGCAAACAAGGCAAATACCTAAACAACTAACTCCAAAAGCAGAAAAAAAGAGAGAAAAATATCCAATTCTTGGAACCTTAGTAATCACTAAAACACATGGAACTTTGCGCACAATGGAGATAAACAATTATGTATCAGATCCTAAATTTCTAACCACACAAAGCATTAGACATCAAAGAAAAATTCCACTAGGCAAGATATGAGAATGACATTCCAAAAAAATACTCTAAACAACGGACTGAGTAGTCAAGAAAGAAACGGAAAGGAAGGGAAAAAAATAGAACGCATTAATTCTTTCGTATACTTACCAGTTACCATGAAGCAAGCACTTGTACAACCAAAAAGCCTGAAAAAAAAAGAAAGAAAATATTCGATAACTACCAGATAAAATCAGAAGAATAAAAACTGATCTTAAAAAAAATAAACATATAAAGAAAAGCAAAATCCACCTAAAGGCTTTCCTAGCAATTGTTTCCCCTTTTCATCTCAGTGGCAGCTGTCAGGACAAAAAAATAAATTTTATGTATAGCTAAGAAAGAAAAATATGGAAATTGGGCACAACATGGAAAAAAAAAGAGGAAATTTTCACCTCAGCTAACTCCTTTGAACTTCATTTGGTTTTTATTTGTTTCATCCGTGCAAAGTGTAGAGTAGTTCAAGCATACATTAATGTTAAAGTTCCCAACAAGATTAAGATCCATAGAATAATAGGTGGAAGCAATCTTGTTTGTTCAATCAATATTTACAAAAAAAAAAAAAAAGAAAAAAATGGCGGGGAAGGAAGATGCGGATGATCAAGAGGAAGAAAGGCCAATGAAGAAGAAGATGAGGGAGAGATACAGGGACGGTGGAAAGTTGTTCTTTGTCAGGCGTGTACAGGGACGGTGGAGTCTATTTTACACTCACAGGGCATTCAAAAGAAAGATTCTTTTGAATAGAGTTTGTAAAATTTGAGGAGCAATAAGGGTAAAATTATAATTTCACTGGCCATCATTGAGCCCAGCACCAACCCTTGTCATTCAACCTGACGAATCACACGCACACCTGCTGCAACGCGGGCCAGCCGGACTCCCGTTTCTTCTCCTCTTTCTTCGGCTTGTAATCTTCTTTAGTCTTCTAGTCTAGTGTAGTTAGAAAGAAAGAATGCATGGAAAAGAAAACCAAATGGGAATATAAGAAAGGTAAGCTACCAAGTTGGACGAACACTCTTTAGCCAACCACATTTTGCCACATCAGCAACACAAACATCACTTTGAGGCATGGCATTCCCTCTTTTATATATATGTTAATAAAGACTATAAAGTAACGGGGGCTTTGGGGGTAGTTTATAAGTCCTGGGCGCCTTCAAAAGCCAAAGTTGTCGGCTTTTGGAGGTTGTTCGGACATTTCGATTTATATGTTAAAAGTCTGAATTCTCTTAGAAATTAATAAAAAAAAAGTAAATGACTATATATTTGGAGTTTATTTATTGGTCAATGATCAATTGTTAAGTTGTGTAGTAGTTGGTCCTTGACCACGATAAAGCTTGTGAAGGGCTGTTGGAAACATGACAGAGGGGGTGGGACCTTAAAAGCAGGAAGAAGATATAATATTTAAATTAAGATCTCTAATTCAATTATTGATATTTTATATTGGGTGAAACCAATGACAAGGATGCAAAACAATAATTGAAAAGGATTTTGACTTTCATGGCCAAACTAGACATGTTCGTCAACCGGTGCTCTGATTGTTGTCAATTTTGTTTATCTACAAAGGTTACGTTTCTGAGTTTCTCCACATATCAATCCAACTCTGTCACAGATCAAGAATATTTGCAGAGTTCTTCAAAATTTCAGCCATGCACTTTCATAAGCAAATTCAATGGCAAATCCTCTTAGCATATATGATCATTATTAGCTTCACAATTCTTTTGGTCAGAAGTACTCCTCCAGAAGATCACATAAGATGTTCATCCGGCAACACAAATTGCACCATCACAAATTCTTACGCTACATTCCCAGATCGAAGCATATGTCATGCAGCCGAAGTTGTTTATCCAACAACAGAAGAAGAGCTGATTTCGATCGTAGCAAATGCAACTTTTCTGCGGAGAAAAATGAAAGTAGCAACCTCAACATCACACAGTATACCTAAACTTATATGCCCTGAGGGAGAAAATGGCCTGATTATTAGCACCAAGGACCTCAATCGGACCCTGAATATCGACAAATCAGCCATGACCATAACAGTTGAGCCTGGAATGTTACTAAGGCAGCTGATCAATGAAAGTGCCATGGCTGGATTAGCTATACCTTATGTCCCATATTGGTGGGGTGTAACTGTCGGTGGAATTTTGGGCACGGGTGCCCATGGAAGCTCACAGTGGGGTGAATCGGGCAGTGCAGTTCATGATTTTGTGATTCAACTTCGGATTGTGACACCTGCAGGCCCTGATGAGGGTTATGCAAAAGTTCGAACGCTGCAAAATGGTGACCCTGAGCTTGATGCTGCCAGAGTGTCCCTTGGTGTTCTTGGAGTGATTTCCCAGGTACCTTCTGAAGTTGATCATAGACTCCTACGCATATTTCAGATCCATATTCTTCATTTGCCCCATCTTTTTTTAAGTAAGGAAAGGAACAGAATGACCTTTGATCCAAGCGATAAGAGTACAAGACTAACAAAAAGATATAACATGGCAGGTGACTCTTCAACTGCAACCAATGTTTAAGAGGTCTATCACCCTTCTAGAGAAAAATGATTCAGACTTAGCAGATCAAGTGTCCACCTTCGGCAGACAACACGAATTTGCAGATTTAACGTGGTACCCAAGTCAAAGCAAGGTTGTCTATCGTATTGATGATAGAGTCTCCTCAGGCACTCCTGGAAATGGTGTTTATGATTTTGCGGCTTTCCGGTCTGTCCCTTCACAATATCTTGCCATGGCAAGAAGCTTAGGTTGGTTTTAAGATTAATCATTTGACTAGCCCATGTGAAACCTATTTTATTTTTCAATTAATGTAAACTACAATGGATCTGTTATTGCTTTCTTTTTGTTATTTTAACAGAGGAAAGTCAAGAATCCAGGGGTACAAGTGTTGGTGGGGAATGCGTAACTGGGTCAGTTTGCACATCCCCAATGGAGATGGCTGCATATGGATTGACTAGAAATGGTAAGCATATTCTTATTAGCATTATTAACATTATTTTGTAAACTTTTTACTGCGGTCTGAGATAACTAACATTATTGTTTAATCAGCAATAATAATCTGATTTTAAGACCATATTATTAATTGTTGGTTTCTTTGTTGTTGAATAGGAGAGAGTCAAGAGTCCACAAGTGATGTTGTAGGGAAATGTGTAACAGCAGCACAAACTCTATCCCAACTGGCAGTGGCAGCATATGGGTTGACCAACGATGGTATTTCTTCTCAATCCTATCTTTAGCTTTTACTCCATTCAAGTCACATAATTCCTCCAACCCCTCAAATAACAAAAGAAAATTTATTGCATACGCTTTATCCGTATATACCAGTAAAAGAGTAATGTTTGATCCTGTTTGCTTTTTGTTTTTCTAAATTTTCAGCAAAATAGTAGTATTTGACATGGTAGAATATATAGCTAGAGTTGGAAAGAACTAGTGATATTTCACCTACTCTTCTAATTTAAATCTATCGTATTGTTATAATTAAAGGATATATATGACTCTAAGGGTCCCCATACTTTTTGAAAGATTTTATTTAGCCAATAAACAATAAAGGACGGTCAAGTCATCTAACTTTATTTACGAAATAATTTGTTTCCCTGGGTGTGTGGGTCAACTGCAAATGTATTATCCTGTAATTCAACAAACGCCTTAAAGATTGTTTGTACAAAATATTCCAAAGCAAGTAACTTTTTAGATTGAATATTATTGGAACATTATCAAACTATATGATCATTATCGTCCACATTTTAGAAAATGTAATGTAATACCTAGTATAAACAAGATGCACCAAATTATAGCTTGCCGTTAAATTAAGGACTAAAATGTAGCAAAGAAAAATTGACTATACCATGAGAATAAAATCAAGAGCCCAAGATAGGGATTATAGAAAGAAATGAGAACAACATAAACCAAGACTGGTCTTGATACAGGTATGGCTTTCAATGGCTACCCTGTAGTAGGCTATAACAATCAGCTTCAATCATCTGGTACATGCCTAGACAGCCTAGAAGATGCATTGGCAACATCATGCCCTTGGGACCCTAGAATTAAGGGCTTATACTTCTTCTATACTGCAATCAGCATCAGCTTGTCCAAGACTAAGGACTTCATTGAAGATGTGAAGAAACTTGCTGCTTTGCAACCTGAGGCTTTCTGTGGCCTAGACCTCTATATTGGTATCCTCATGAGATATGTCACTGCTTCAACTGCTTACTTGGGTAAAGATGAAGATGTTGTAGAATTCGACATGATTTACTATAGAAGTAAGGATCCAATGTCCCCAAGAATCTATCAAGACATCCTTGAAGAGATAGAGCAACTAGCATTATTTAAATATGGAGGGTTGCCACATTGGGGGAAAAACAAAAATATGGCTTTTATCGGGGCAATCAAGAAGTATAAGAGTGCTAGTGAGTTTTTGAAAGTAAAAATGTTGTATGATCCTTTAGGGTTGTTTTCCAATGAATGGACAGACCAAATTCTTGAAGTGAAAGATGGGATTAGTATAGTGAAGGAAAATTGTGCCTTAGAAGGATTATGCATATGCTCGGAGGATGTTCATTGTGCCCCACAAAAGGGATACTTTTGTCGACCAGGAAAAGTTTATCAAGAAGCTAGGGTTTGTGTTCATTTGTCATATGAAGATGGGTATGACTGGTCTTAGAAATATTAAATTATTCTTTAAGGAAATTATGTTGTAATTTGCTCCCTTAAGTGGACAATTGGATTTCATCCGTCTGCACGTCCCTAATTGAGTCTATTCAGTCCCTCACTATGTACAATTTTCTTTGTAGTAAACTTGTTATAAGTCAGTTTACATTAAGTATACAGAGATTAAGCTCAAAAAGTTCTTTTTTTTTTTAAGCCCAGATCCAAAAGTTCAGTAAAATTACTTATCTTTGTATAAGTTATTACAATTCATGGATCTTCTATTCTATGCCACTCCTTGTCCAATCTTTTGAATGTTGTCATGTGTTATTCAGAAATATCCTATTTTAATTCTTTTTTTCCTTTGAGTTTGAATAAGGTTAAAAACTCAAATACACCATATATATATATATATAGAAAAATAAAAATACAACAAAACTGGTTACATAAATTTGTTATATTTTACATTTTTATCTATTGTATTTTGTTTTTTATCTTGTCAATATTCATGGGAACTTTAGAAAAAAGTTGAGTTAGAATGGAATATTTATAAAGGACTTACGGCAACAAAATAGAATGTAGAACAAGAAGAGGTAAAGGAAGTACCACAAAAGATCCATAATTTTTCTGAGTAACTTGTATGATTTGCCGTTGCATCTTATGCTTAATTTCTACATTTTGGTGGTGGGCAGCGCCAAGTACTTTGCACGAGGTACCCTTGAAGCCCTTGAACTTTTACTGAATATGATATTTACTCTCACAACTTCTCGTTTCTACTTTTTAGTCCTTAAATTTTTTTATCTTCAATTTATTCAGTATGGAAGTTTCTTGAAACACGGATAGGTCCTTTCATCAACAACACATTGTTATAAATTTACTTCACCATGCTTAGTTAGTTTTAGATTTTCTAACAAATAGACACCGATGATAATATATTTTGACTATTTAAGAAAATTCATTTACATAACTATGCATTTGCAATCACTAAAACAAACAAAGCCATAAAGATTTTACGTACCGTTTCATGACTACAATTTTTTTTTTTTGGTCAAACATTACTCTTATAATTGTATATATGGATGAAGTATTTGATTTTAACTTTAGAGAAGCTAAATATAGGGTTGAGAAGAAATACCATTATTTGAAAACCCATGATCCATATGCAGCCATTGCCAATTGGGATATGATTTACGCTGCAGCTATACGATTTTAGACAACATCGCTCTCTCCTACAACTTCATCATCCAAGAAACCAACAGTGTAACCTTAGCAGTATGGAATTTGAAAAGTAGTTGCAGATTAAACAACATGATTATCTCTCAAACCGTCCTATGCTTCTTGGAATCGATACAAAACAATGATTCGAAGCTGAAACTTTAATTTCATCAGATCAAAGAAGTATAGGAGAAATTAGTCCCGCAGGAGGACTACCACTGAGTTAAAAAATTGTGGAGCAAATGATCAAATATTTTAATATAGTTTTTTTTTGTTGCAGTTGAAATTTCTTATGAAAGTTCATCTTAGGCATGGCTAACATTTTGAAGAATTTTGCATTTTTATATTTTGAATTAAGAGAGATGCACATTGATATGTGGACAAACAAAACCTCTGCATATAAATAAGTTGAAACAATAGTCCCTATGCTAGCTAATTGAAGAAACAATATATTGACAACAGCCAGATGTATCCTGATGCTAGCCCCTCCCCAAAAAAAACACTGTGGGAAAAAATTCAAAGGATTTTCTCCATTATGAATTTGAAGTTTAAAAAAAAGGTTTGGTGTAACCATGGTTTTGAAGATCATAAAATCTTCATTATGAAATAAAATGGAGAACCGAAGATAGATTCTTAAAAGTACTCAAAAGTGAAAAGAAAACTTCCCCCATGCGATCCAACCTTTAGTTGGCTAAACTACGAGAAATTATGTGGAGACTTTAAAAAAGAAGAAGAAGAAGGAGCAAAAGAGACGCCAACCCAATTAAGGAGGAATGGATGTGGAAGAGCTTGAGAATTGAATAAAAAATCTCATAGTTTACTAGAGGCAAATATTTTTGTGGACAGATGACTGTCTATGGTAAAAAATTATTAATCTTCTCCATAACAAAAAGTCAATTACTTATGTGAGATTTTAGGCCTATCCCCCGGCGGGGGAGGGGGCGGCGGAGAAGAGAACAAGACGAAGCTTTTTCCTTCCAACCTTACTATGGTGTAGATCTTTCTGTTGGTTTTCTGTTAATGAAACATTGTGGGCTGCTAAAGTCATTGACTCCACTATTGCAGTTTGGCTTTCTTGTGGCATTCTACAAGTGCCAGAATGATACAGAATTTTTTAAGGTCCAAAAATTAATTATGTATTTCTTCAGGGCTCTTTGCTGTTGAATGGACAGAATAAATTGTTGGTAAAGTATTATTGGGTATAATTTACTCAAGTAATGCATAAGTTGCAATGAACAGAGATTAATTGAATGAAGGCATATAATTTGAATAGTGAAATCTAGCATTTGTTCACAATTTATTATCTTAATTCTTCATCAAAAATCTATAACCAGTCTACATTTCTTGAATTTGTTGTGAACGCATAATTGATCGAGCATTTATCCTCCTCTGTCTTAGGAATTTTTGTTACATCCTTTCTAAATCTGATAAATTGATATATGGCTCACCCTTAACTAAGGAACCACCAGGGAGGATTGAATTGGATATCAAGGTGAGAGGGATTATAAATAAAAGGTTCTATTTTCAAAACCCCATACTTATAAAAATAAATAAATAAAAATGAAAAACCATCACCTTTGGACCCTTTGAAAATTGGGCATGTGATCTGGGCATGACTTATTCCTGCTAAAATTCGTTCAAAAAAGTGAAAAGGGACCAAAGGTAATTATTTTTTATTTATTAGGGACTAAAATTGCTCCTTTTCATTCTGATATATTAAATTTTCACATAAATGATGTGTAAGGGACGATTGGTGCAATTGTCCCTTCATCAAACCCCTAAATGCAAGAGCTTTTGATCCATTTTTAACAATGTATCAATTGCGTCCAATGTGTAAAGAAACCTTTTAGTATTCTTTTACTTACTCAATTGACTATGGCAAATTGTTGTCCCTAAAAGTAGCTTTTAGTTTAATACTTTTTTTGTTTGGATCATTTGAACCCACTAGAGCTACCAGAAGAAATTGGCGGAAGCTAAGTCTATGGAGAATATAGGCCTCAAAGGTCCTAATTAATTGGAACACACGTAGGGTTCACAATCAAGATATTCCCAATTTAAATTTGGACGATTGATATTAGTGATTAGAGGTAATGAAACAACGTTTTTGGTATATAGCAAATGGTGTTAAATGTTTAGATTAGTATGCTAGTAGGCTGGCCCTAACCAAAACTTTTGAAGCCTCATCTTTGTGATGCCATAACTTTGAAAATAGTTGATGGAAAATGGAACTGTTTTCTTTTCTTCTTTTTTTTTATTGATACAAAAAATTTTGGGAACAGGGGAGCCCCAATTCTGAATTGCCTCAGGCGCTAGAGGAGCTTTTAGCAAATGGCTGATCAGATTAATGTCACACCAAAGACTAAGATTCTTTTGTAAGTCTACAAGCCACTACAGCCCTTTAGCAATGAAACTCAATAAAATGATGGATCATGGTCTCAACTCTTGGCAGGAAATGGTGAATGCTCAAAGGACACAACATCACCTTGACTTCTATTAAGGATACCACCTTAATTAGTCTCACATGCAAGTGGATCGTACGTGCTTATTGTAAATGGACAACTGCAATTGTGGCCACTATGTATCCAAAACTATCCATTGAAGATTGTGGAAAACGAAAGTGTTAACAATTGGCAATGGACAATTGGGAGTAACAGCGTGGAATGTCACTCCACCCCCACCACAACAACATCATCCGTTGAGTTTAATATGTTCGTGAAATTTGCTGAAACAAGTGCATGCTTTTTTATCTATGGTTTAAAGAAGAACATTTCTCCACGTATTGATTATGGAGCTAGGCTTGTCTTTAATTAACACATGTACAAGAAGAGTTGGAGGAATTTCTTGCTACTTCCATCATTCCAGCTGTTATAGCCGACTCCAATTGAATATATTTTGAGTCCACTTTACATAAGAAACAAAGATGCGTTGTTATTATTTGTGCTGCCAATCCGCAGTAATTGATTAGAATCCACTCAAAGAAGTGATGATTTTGGATCATATGGTGCACGGTTGATGTGGCTGGCCAGGGGACAGCCCATGAATTTCTGGATGAAAATTGCTTTGGCACTACAAGCTTAATTTGGCGTAGTATCAGATGATGAATTGAGAAAGTTAAAATCAAGCTTTGAAAAGAAAGCAATGTACAATTATTACTAAGATCTATTGGTCGATTCTATGAAATTAATCAACAGAAACAATCAATTTAATATGGCTTAAAACAAAGATCTTGGAGTAATTTTCTTGACAAAATTTTGAATACTCAATAGGATTTTGAGGAAAAACGAAAATAGCCTAAACAAAAAAGGCTCATTCGCTGTTTCTGCATTTTATTCGTGGGCTTTTAGATGGGCTGCGGAAGACGTTATATGCTTTGCTCAGGTTACTTGTCCAGTTTGCAATAATATGCTAACTAGAAGCGTGTCTGAATAGAAAATTATTTAAAATATTATTTAAAATAATTATTATAATATTTTTTTATCTATAACATATATGAGATAAAAAGATAGCAGTTGAAAAGATAAAAAAAAAGTTGAATAAAAATTGTATTTATGACACAGGCAAAATAAAAAGTTGACTATGCTCAACTTGACTAACATAAACCAACGTTTTATGCTGCAGTACTTATCTCCGAGAATTCGGTGTCTTAATAATCCATTTTAGGTTAAAATGGTTATTTTAAATTTTTTTACATTATACTTTAAGATTTTTGTTTATTTTTTTGATAAAACATAAATCAATATTATTAATCATATTGCTGGAAATCGTCCAGTATTATTAATCAACATTTTTGTTTATTAGTCAGGCCTGCAGTGTTAATCGCATAGAACAGTAGTTAGCTGATAGACGTGATAATTTTGAACACTTTCTTTAACGTTAATTAAATCGCTTAGATTTTAAATAATCGAAGAAATATCTATAAATCAGGAATAATGTTATAAGATAATGATAAACTTACAAAAAATTAGTAGTTAAAAGCAGTTTGTGCCGTCTTCATATATTTCCGAAATGGGCAATAGCTTCCA